TTATGGCTCGTGGTCCGGATGCCTTTTTCTATGGGTTTACCGGTATAATAAACCATAGGTTTTTGACCAATCAGATCACGCGTACTATCTCAGTTATTTTATAAAAGAGGATAAAGTCTCCCTCGCGCGCGCCCGTTCTCTCTTTCGCCCACTGCTTCCAAGCGCCTGCTACGCAGGCTAGCGCTTTATCGTCGCGATACCTCATAGCTTTGAACATATATTTTGCCGGTCGTGATTCGCAGCAAATATTGCAGCAGAATCTCACGAAAATTGTCCTTAAATTATCTCTGACTTGTACCTTTGGGAAAGTTCGCATTGAAAATGGCGACAAAAGATCATTATTCTCCTTGCCAATACGGGATTTAATCTCTCTTAGGTAATTATTAAAAAAGCTTTTTCCTCAGTTTGTCACCTACCCCCAAAAAGGGAAATCAGTTTCACCGATCATCTAAAAGACCTAAAATCACTTTAATGAATTCTGATTGATGGTAGATCACAATAACAAAGTTTCTTTTCACTCTTATATTGCCATTTTGTACTACTGCAGTACAAGCTCTATTTTGGTCTGTTTTTTTTTTCACTTTAGTTGGTCATTCTTCCAGATCACTGGTGGAACGAAATCAGGGAACGACGTTATCAACTCAGCACCACACATCTGCAGGTTCAAGATGTTCTTAACTTTTTCCGGTATTAGTTTCTCTTCCTGGTTTGGCAAATTCGTGGTATTATCACGGTTCGCAGTGAATTGCGAAATACTTAAACTAAAATGAAGTAAACAGAGGCCTTTCCCCCCTTTCCCACGTTTAAGCAATTTTTAAAAGAACTTCTTTCATTGTCTTAATTATTGTTATTGGCCACATGCACAAGTACCATGAAGCCTTTTACTGACAAGATTACTTTAAATCTAGCGGAGTACCTAAGCTCAAGATCTTGGAGAGGGCTGGAGCAAAAGCAAGGTGAAACACCAGTAACCAAAGCAGTAGAGGGGAGAAAAGGTATTGCGGCAGGGTACACACACGAGGAGGAACTAAAACAAGATAGCTCAGAGAGTGCCTCCAGTTAATGACCTATTTCAACAGGCATTGCGGCAGGGTACACACACGAGAAGGGACTAAAACAAGACAGTGCAGAGAGAACCTCCAGTTGATGATCTTAATGCAACAGGCTTTGGAGCAGAGTAGACAGCTAAGCTCGCACTCGAGAGAAGCCTCTTGGAACTAAACAACATATGGCTCAATGTACCCGCCCTAAATGTTCCTATTGCAACACGAGGTACTGCCACAGCAGATTCTCATACAAGGAAGAGCTAAAGCAGGGCATTTGACGATTTACTAAACAGGGTCACGCTTGGCAGACTAAGAAATATCTCCCAAAGTAATTCTAACTAATGATCCTCTACAGTCATTTCAGATGGCTTAATCATGCTACAGGCCGTTGTAAGACATTTTTCAAAATTGCCAGTGAAAAAGAAAGATGTTTTTCTTGGTGTTTGTTCGTCTGAAGTGACGACAATCAGAAGACACATTAAAACGCAACTGGCAGACATAAAGTAAAAGATACTGTTAATGACTACTCATCAGGCTAATGGCTGGGTAGAGAAAAGGCTTAGAAGAGCGTCTGACAGGTTCAGAATAGATAGCAGTTCCCAACCAAAGACATCGAAAACAGGGAAGCCGGGTCAAAAAAAGTGAACTAGTTGAACAGTTTAAAGCTGTCAATAAATACACCGACCACAAATAACGGCTGTCTTCGCAGGCAGAGGAGCTTGTCATCATTAAAACATTCCTTGAGTTTACAAGTTTATTTGTCATGATTAAATATTACGAGGATCAAAAGTCTGCAATATTCCGCAAATAGGGATCGCTAGTCTGGAGGGGTGGTGTTTTCAATGTTGTTGTTTTTCAAATCTCTGAAACCTTCCGATTATTGGAAGCAATCTGCTTTTGTTTCTCCTGGTTCAAAAAATGGGCATTTTGATGCATACAAAAGAATTCCTTGTGAAACTCAAAATAATAAATCTACAGCCAAATTCGTTGTATCGCGCTGCCCGTTTTGCAAACTTCGAAGGGATTTTGGGTTTTTCTGTTCCGTCAATCATCTGAGCCAGGGCGGGATTAATGCAAATCACAACCAAACGCGCTGAGCCAGCTTCACCCGCAACAACCAAACTGACTGCAATGACTGTAGACAAGAGAGTTCATTCCCTCTTTGTCTAGACTGCTTAAGAATAGCGAAGGAAATCGCGATGGTGAGTGAAATTTTTGTCGTGGGAAGGAACCAGACACTGCTTTATTCTTGCTAGTGGGGTAGACATTCTTAATTAAGATGGGAAAAAGCTTGCAACCAAACTAGTCGATTATTGCCCGAAACAGGACGATCAGAGGCAACGAACCTTGAGGTGTTTCGATACAGTTTCTCGCTGACCATACCGATGTTTTTCAATCGCCTTAGAAGTGATTTTATCCTTGTTTGATCGCCACAAGATTTTCACCAGTGACTGACTATGAATCGAAGTTTGTCAAAATGCAGTTTTTAGTAAAATCGATATCACTATGACAACAATGAACAAAAAACTTTGAAATCGATTTAATCCGAATTTCGCGCGATCTAGACCTGCTACTGAAACTTCGACACCAGGAACTCAAAGTGTGGTGTTTAGCAAATAACCTCCGTGAGAAGTAAAAAATTCTGTATGCTTAAATTCAAATAAAACGTTAATATATTTCAAACCTTACATTTTCAATAGCCGTGATAAATTGTTTAATAAAAGAGTTCTAAATAACTCAAATTAATCTTAAGCAGTGTCAGAAGGCTGCTTCATACCATTATTCAATGTATGGAAATTTTGGTGTATTTTCTTTATTGCGATCCTGAAAGCTAACGTGTTTTCTCACCACCTGTCTAAGTGAAACTTTATTCTAAATTTTGACTTTTAGTGCTTTTCTGTATGTCTCTAAAACCGCTCGACAGAATCCTTTTTAAACCTCATCACACAATCTCCACGATGTTTGTATTAATTAATGTCTGAAGCTTCATTGAGATTGATTCACTGCAACACCTTGAAATTTCAAGACGAACCTAGACCACGAACCGACCAAAAATCCGCGTTACAACATTCATTGTTTTGACGTTATGCTAATTTTTCCAAATTTTTTTCTTGCCTTACATACCTCCATGGCTTGCACATTTTAGTATGACTTTTATTGCATGTTTTCAGCACAACGTAAAACATTGATAGTGTTCACATCGAAATGTATTTGTTAAAAAAGAACAAAGTTTTGATGAGTTTAAGTTTAAGTCCATATTAGCTTTTGAACCAATTTTTCTATCTTGCCCTGTCGAACTTAAAATCAAACTTAGATCCAGGCATGACTGTCCAATACAATACTCACTGACTTTTACTCAACTAATAAAGCCAATATACACGCGGTTAGCTAGCCTGCACAAGGGACTTGATTCTAGACAGTCCCCACACTTACCAAACTCTGATCAGGTTGAGAAAAATAAAAAGCGGCTCAAAAACCACACATGAGGGAAGAAACACACAACCTAAGCGAGGTTAGCTGATTCTCTTTAAGGTGGCTCGACTGGATTTTTTGGGGTTGATACCTCCCAACTTTGAGCATTAACTACATCGGCATGAGTAAAGATATGGAAAAATTGTTACCACAACTGTATTATATAAAGATGAAAATTTCTTATGATCTGGGTTTTATTGCAATCGGAGTCGCCATGGCAACGTAATGACGCCATTACGTTTTTCATTTATCTTTGTGTTTCTCTGTTCCAGGAGTTTTTTGAAGAAATCGCTTTAGGGAGTATGTACCTGCTATAATTGCCTCCATT